GAATTTTCCTTTATTTTTAAAGAAGAGGACAAAATAGACAAAATTTATTTAATTTTGACCATAGAATTTACAGAGCGCAAGCGTCCTCCAGTACAATATTAACATATATTCCATTAGTATTATTATTGTACACATTATATCAGAAGATCGAGCTAGAACAGACCTGCAGTCGATGAATTGGCTTAAAAACACTTTTTCTCTTAAAATGATCGATGCTTCGCATTTACGTCATGTTCTTGTCGTCCTATCTAACTTATGGCGTCATGGCTGATGATAAAAGGTAATGCCTTGAAGTCTGCAGATATTCCTTCGTTTTACAACATAATTATAAATTTCTCCATCAAAGTTTGATTAAGGAAATGAAACTAGAACACGTATACTTAGTATTTGATACAATCATGGCAAAAAAGAGAACTTCTAGAATGATACATGTTCATTACTTTACAAAGACCATGACGTTGGCTTGATCAGAAGGTTGTGGGTTCACGCCCTGGCCGCGACAGACCTATATCGATAAAATAGGAAGCAGGTGTTCTTTCGCCAAGTGCTTGGCGATTTGAAGTGAAAGTTGCGGGTCTTTCGGATGAGACCCTAAAAATAAATGTTCATGACAGCTCAAGGACCCCGATAATTAGTGCCGAGTAAAGATCCTTCACTGGTATTTGGCGAATTTTCTGTATGAGTGAACATTTCTCGAATAGGAGGAAAACAACATACATTAAAAAAAACAATCATTACTTTATATCCATTAAGCTTTAAAATGTTGATCTAAATCATATTTACAGTAAAAGAGTATCCTTAATCATGTACATATGAAATAGAAGTCATCCTTACTACTTTAAATAATTGAAATAAGAATATACATGGAGTGTAATCCATCTGCTCTAAACAAAAATGCAATGTAAATTTTGCTGATTATAACCATATACTTCTGACCAAATATATGTATCTTTCTTATGCCCTTGAAGCATGACCAACATCCAAGGTGTTAAGGTGCTGAACTAAATGTCACTATATATTCTTATAAATACAACCTATCAAGTCAAATGCTGACTGACGTTTTTCATTACTTATCATATGGCCATTATTTACTCGCAAAATTGTCTACGGATTTCCCCCCAATCATTACAAGGAGCACACGACTGGTGTGACCGGTCGGCAGGGGATGCTCACTCCTCCATGACACCTTATCCCACCTCTGATGTTTTTGGAGGTCCCTATTTGCTTTGTACCCGATTTGTATTGTTTGAATGGACCTTGAGCTTGAGCACTGTTCGTTATCTCCATATTTCAATCACATACAAAACACTTCTTATACAATAGTGTGTAAATCAAATTTTGCTTATATTAATTTTGCAAATATAAGATTTGCAAAAAAAGGTTTGGCAGATGTGGCCCTAAGAAAATGGCTATGAATTAATTGTAAATAGGAATATTTTAAAAATCATTCATTAACGTGACTGCTGTTAGGGTGAAATTGTCAATCAAATACCAAAACCATCCCTTAAATCCTTTCTAAAACACTGTGTGTAATATTGAATTATCTGTAGTATATTGGGTTTAGTAGTATTGATGTTAAAATAGGTTTAAAAGCTTTTTAAAAAGTAAATAGTACGTGACTCTTGTTATTCTTTGCAAAAAATTCGATTCTCATACACGAGCATGTTTCATTTTTACTACGATGATTATTTTTATCAATTTTATTTTATAAATGTTTTTGTAAGAAATAATAATTTCACTGTAGAATTAAAAGTGAAACGTTACGTGAACTCACAGAAAATAAGGAAATAAAAAATATTAAAACAATGGACTAAAACAGAAACCATTCATTCGAAACTGATTTTCATTCAGAATATAGAAGTCAATGGAGTTCAGAAGCTGATTCCAACACGCGGGAGATTCCCGAACGCAATGAAAGTGATTATGGATTTATACGTATGTAAATATCCTGAGAGTATACTTACGAGGGGTTATCAAAAAGTTCGTGGACTAGCGTCATAAAATTAAAACCGCTTTAGGTACATCAATGAATTTTTACACATTTAGTTAGCATCATCTTTTCTATCTATAGAATAAATCATAAATCATGATTTTTATTTTTTAATAAATTGTTAGTGTTTTTGTAAGCAAAGGTATGTCCAGGTGGCGCAACCTCTAATATGACGTTTTTTTTTCTACCTGAGTGTAACTGAGAAAAACTCTTTAGATATATTAGTATTTGTCATCAAAAAATCTCGTTAATTCAGGCATGAAGTACGACACATTTGTTCAGTAAAATTTGCAATTTTTACCCCATTCTGTAATTTCTATGAAATTTTATCGTAAATTTTATATGGAGTGTCCAAACAATTATGGGCTTGAAAATAACGTCAAGAAGGGGGAGGGGTTTCTTTTTCAAACACTCTTTAGAGTTTCGCTCCTGGAAAAACTGGTATTGACCTAAGGAATGTTTCTGGCTACAGAAAAATAAAATACATCCAGAGTACTTGTTTTTTAATGCCCAAAAAGATTCAGAGAGATGAAATATGCACAGTTAGTGTCGATTTGTAGTCAGGGTGTCAAAGGTCAGTCACGTCAAAAAGTGACGTTGATCATGTGTGGTAGAAATTGAACTCCAACAAGCTAAGTATTCTGGCATAATCAAGTGAGGATCTTTCCTCATATAAAGATCCATTTACAATATTTTATGTATTGAAAACAGCTGCTCATGACATTGTAAATTCAGATAAATAAGACGGGTTTAAGTCCTTACTTAACTCCAGGTAATCTCATCAAGATAAGTGTATGAGGTAGAGAGAGCGGACATTAATTAAGAAACAATGACGTTAAGCGGACGTCATGACACTAAACGGCGACAGCGCTGGGTGATCACATAAAGTCTTTTTAAGTTTAGAATAATTTGGCAAATTATCAACGTATCAAGCTAAAATTTTCAACATTTCTTAAACTTTTGTTGTTTTATGTTCCGCATAAATTTTGTAAGCAAAGACTACATACATGTATTATTAATTTTATCGCGACAGTCCACGAACTTTTTGATAACCCCTCGTAAAAGCCCTAGTAAAGGTACATCTAGAAAAGTTAGCTTTTGCAAATATATGAAAGAGCTCTCACAATTCTGTTCACGCTTAAGTTGTTGTCCCCCGCTTTCACTGAAAGTGGGGGATATTAATTTGGGTCTGTCTGTCCCTCCGTCCGTCTGTATTTCTGTCTGTCTGTAACACTTTCGTTTCCGCGCGATATCTCGAGAACCCTTTGAGCTTTCGCAATGAAATTTTGCATAGCAACTCCCTATCACCTAAAGAAGAACTGTATTGATTTTGAGGTCAAAAGGTCGAAGGTCAAGGTCATAACTTCATAAATTCTGTCTGTTTTAACACTTTCGTTTCCGCGCGATATCTCGCGAATTCTTTGAGCTTTTCTAATGAAATTTTACATGACAACACCCTGTGGCCTAAGGAAGACCTCTATAGATTTTGAGGTCAAAAGGTCAAAGTTCAAGGTCATAAATTCCGTCTGTGTGTAACACTTTCGTTTCCGGGCCATATCTCAAGAAGCTTTTGAGCTTTTGCAATGAAATTTTATACCATAACTCCCTATAGCCTCTCTCGCCCCTCTCGAAGTGTCCCACCCCTAGACAGAAAATGATAAATATCCTACAGACCCGGTTTAACGATAGAATGCGTTTCGTGTATTGTCAATGAAGCAAGAAGAAAATACGGGAGATAACTCTAACTCAGTTCATTTACTATGAAAAATCCCGAGAGTTCTGAATGTCAACATGGTGTGTAAATTTGAAGCGAGTAAAAAACGTTGGTGAAAAAGTGTTGAATTCTTTCATAATATGGATAAAATTTTTAGATGAAAGGTATTTTCAGTCTCAAAAAGGTTTGTTATGATTAATTTAACTGTTATTTTCAATGCAACTTCATTAATTTTCTCCAAAATCGTTTCGGAGCGATTCTGCAATTTTCTGCTTCATTACGGGTATATGGGGGGCATTCTCACTGTGGTGAGGGTCATCCCGAGACACAGTTAGATTATTCTAACTACGCACCCCGTTTTTTATTTTATTTATTTATTGTATTAAAAGTCGTTTAGCACAGGGGCATGTGGAGTGTTATTACGTATAATACAGGTTATCGGCGGACTTTATCTGTTTATATTCTAATTACATACACATGTATATTACATGTAGAACTGTTTAGTAAAGGCTAAGTTAGACACCATGTATTGATTAAAATTTTGACAATATCGAACGTGAAAATAAACATTATATGTGACTTAATGTTTGCATTTAATTTATTGAATATTCAAGTGTCTCTGTGGTCTAGTGGTATGATGCTCGCTAAGCAAGCGAGAGGCCCGGGTTCAATCCCCGGACGATTCTTTTTTTTTTTTTTAAAAATGTTTTTTTTTTTTTTTTTTTTTTTTTTTTTTCTTTTTTTTTGGATTTACTAAATGATACTATTCAACATGTGAAATGAAAAAGTTATGATGTCTGGCGTGTACATGTACAAACTCATAAAATCATTATTAAAGTGTGATAAATATTATTAAAAAGAATCTTCTATGTACACATATTAAAGAATAAGCAATCAAATCTTTATATCCATATTGCCTTTTTTTAAATTTAAATTTGCTTCAATATACATGTATACATTTAATAATTCTACAAATACAGGGGGGCAGTGTGACCCCCCCTCCCGAACTGCGCATGCTCTTCTTTTTTCCCTAAGCGGGGGACAAAAATTCTCTAAATTAGCTTGTTAATCATACTTTCTAAAGCTATAAATTTTAAACCAGCACACAATTCGACTACTATTTTTACATTAGTTGTTAATCGTACTTCTTAAACTATTTATGTAAACCAACAAATATTTCGACAGCTATTTTTGATTAAAAATAAGATAAAAACTTTGGGATCTTTTGCTATTTCCACCTATTTTGACCTAATGACAATGCCACTTCGATCACAAGATTAAGCATTTGCAAGAGTATTAGGTTACTTTAACAACACATCTAGATGGACTGCAGGTTTTCAGTGTTACAAATGCGGAATATACAAATTCTGTTCCTTTAAATTTTATTGAAATATTCAGAATTCTTTTCATGTGGTCTTGATGCGCAGGAATCGGTACACGTAGCTCTGAAAATAGACAGTTTATTTCTTCTTCGACATTTACTGGCATTTTATCATTGGAAGAACTAACTTGCCTAAGATTCAGAACACCACCTTTCAGTTTCTCTCTGATGTAAAATTTGTGAAGAACCTTTTCACCAATTTTTATTGGTTGACCTTTCTTAGTCACAGAATAGAAATTTCCTTCGTAGATTTTGTTGATTGGAGAAATTTCAGGAGTCAATTGAATACCATACCACATTTTACTTATTCTCGAGGAAATGACGGCTGGATTGTGTCCAAAAATGACAGCGCCCTTAACTACAGCCAAATCGGATTCAGGTGGACAGACCAAACGAAGTGATGGGTACGTTTGCTTTATAACCTGTCTGATTTCCTTACAACCTGCATAACCACCAACCAGCAGTATGGAGTGAATTTCATCGGTAACAACCTCACGAAGGCATTTCAGAATGCTCGACACTGACGATGAAAAGAACTCTTGGAAAAGTGTTATGGGGAATTTCAGCTTGTCTCGAACCAGAGATACATTATATTTGCTTAATTTCTCGGATTTCATTTTCGAAGCGATAATTGATGGTATTTGAAGCATAACGTATTGCGACTTTTGCGAATCAACTTGTCTTTTCTTTATCTCGAAGCTCCTCCACAAGTCGTGCATTTCTGTTCGATAGGATTTACTAAGAGTCTCGAAATTGCAGTCAAGAACATTTCGTATGAAGTCCCAAAAACACTTATCAACGTATGTTCCTCCACAGTCACTTCCTCTACAGCACTTGAGTTCCCGGATCATACCACTTGGGAGAACTTCATTAGTTGTAATATCTACTGTACCACCTGTTATAATAAACCAGAAGTCTCTGTAGCTCTACTGGTCTGTACATATACATGTAACAAAGAAAAAGTAGCACTTGGATTTGAAACTTTCCAACATGCAGCAATAAATAAAATTATGTATCTTAATATAGTCTACTTGTGTGCCAAGTTAAATTGAAATCAGATCAAAACTGTAGGAGGAGTAGCGTTTTAAAAGAAACTCACAGAAATTTTTATTTTTAGTAACCATGGCAACATCGTTCACCCAAATCAAAAACTGATGCTCTGAATTATGTATCTTTGTGTAGTCTACTTGTGTGACAAGTTATATTGAGATCAGATCAAAACTGTAGGAGGAGTAGCGTTTTAAAGGAATTTCACAGAAATTTTTATTTTCAGTAACCATGGCAACACTGCTCATCGAAATCAAAAACCGATGCATTAAATTATGTATCTTAGTGTAGTCTACTTGTATGCCAAATTATATTGAAATCAGACCAAAATTGTGGGAGGAGTAGCATTTTTAAGGAATTTCACAGAAATTTCTATTTTTAGTAACCATGGCAACATCGTTCATGGAAGTCAAAAACTGACGCACTAAATTATGTATCTTATTGTAGTCTACTTATGTGCCAAGTTGTACTGAAATCAGACCAAAACTGTAGGAGGAGTAGCGTTTTAAAGGAATTTCACAGAAATTTCTATTTTTAGTAACCATGGCAACACCGCTCATCCAAATCAAAAACTGATGCACTAAATTACGTATCTTAGTGTAGTCTACTTGTGTGCCAAGTTATATTGAAATCAGACCAGAACTGTAGGAGGAGTAGCATTTTGAAAAATTGTTTACAGACAGACGGACAGACAGACGGACGCCGGACACCTTACTATCGCATAAGCTCTTCTGGTCTCTGACCCGTAGAGCTAAAAAGCAAATATAAGCAGTTTGAAAACAAAGGAAATGCATCGTGTGTTATAACTGCTATGCTGGGTTTTGTTTGTTTGTATGTTGTTTAACGTCCCTCTCGAGAATTTTTCACTCATATGGAGACGCCACCACTTGCCGGTGGAGAGCTGCAAACTTTATCCTATACTCGGCACTTACAGCCATTGAGCAGTGAGGGGTCTTTTTCGTGCCAGCACCTACTGCGACACGGGACCTCGGTTTATACGGTCGCATCCGAAGGACCGGTCCCCACGTCCCACAGTGGGATTCGAACCCGCGACGTAAGGATCAACTCCTTACTTCGCGACTCTAGAGCAGACGCTCTAACCACTGCGCCACGCGGGCGACGCTATGCTGGGTAAAACAGTAGTATGAAACCTTCGCAGTACAATACTTAAGATAAAAAATACATTCTATACAAGGATTGTCGGGGTTTTTTTTAGTTCTTTACTAATATCGAACAAATATAATATGGTAGATGACTATATATTGCATACGATTACATTGTCTATTTAAACTAGTCACTTGATGTGCCAGTCAAGTAGCAAAATACTTACACTATTGAGGGTCATCTATGAATTTCAATATTGCAAGGGCATAACCAAGTTAAAAATTAAACAGTTATTAGGTCTTTATCACATTTACTCTGTCCCTTTGAAAGTTTTAAATGGTCTATTTTAAAAGGTCAAGGAAAGTCCATTTTCGATTCTTCGACACCAGAATACTATCTTGGATCTGAGATAATGGATATTGTAAATCATTCGCTAGAGACTACTGCTCAACCAACCTGTCTGTTCCTTAAACTTTAATTGGTCAAAAAAGTCTACACATTACACATTGTATTTCTTACAAACATACTATGACTATTGCTTCCAAACTTTTTAATTACAAAAAATATCTACAGTGCCTACATATTGAACATCGAAACATAATCCTGCTACGTGATCGTATCCTACTTCAGGTTTTAACTATAGTCTTGCTAGACACATCATTACTGGTGATCTATGTATAGTTAATAATGAAGACCTTAAATCCCTTATTTAAAAAGGGCCAGATTTAGGGAACCATGTTTTTTTAACTGGCGTCAAAATCTAAAAATATCATGAAATGGCGAGGGGCAAAACATGAAAAAGAAGACAATGACACTTTGTCAGAATGGATTAAAACTATCAGCTGGATGTTAAAATCTCGTATTAATTAAGCGACCGCGGAGCAATATCAAAACCATCTAATATTCTTCTGTTTTAATAATTCAGAATTGAAGAAATGAATTGGATACATCACACGATCAATATGTACTGGTTTTTGTGTGTAAAGACAGCTTATTGTATTTATTGTATTTTAGAGGAACTTGGATCTAATCTGCAAGTGGTAATCCAACTTATCTTTCTTTACTCCTCACTAAATTATAAACAGCAATAGAGGGGAAACTTCAGGAGTACTGTACAACAATATATTCGAGAAGTGGTGCAATTGTTTGTTTGTTTTGTTTTTTTTTTTTATTGTTTAACGTCCCTCTCGAGAATTTTTCACTCATATAGAGACGCCACCACATGCCGGTGGAGAGCTGCAAATTTTGACCTATGCTCAGCACTTAGGGCCATTGAGCAGTGAGGGATCTTTTTCGTGCCAGCACCTACTGCGACACGGGACCTCGGTTTATACGGTCTCATCCGAAGGACCGGTCTCCACGTACCACAGTGGGATTCGAAACCGCGACGTAAGGATCAACTCCTTACTCCGCGACTCCAGAGCGAACGCTCAAACCTCTGCGCAACGCGGGCGACCAATTGTTTGATGATTGTATGTTGTGTTACGTCCCATTCGAGAATTTTTCACTCATATAGAGACGTCACAATATACCGGTGAAGTACGAAAGCCCAGAAGGCTCATTCGAGATTCGAGTTTCGAAATACGAGATTCGAAATTCGAGATTCGAAATTCGAGTTTCGAGATTCAAGATCCAAACTAACCAAACAAAAGACGGTTTAAGATTCAATTACTCCCCTTTGCTAAGTTTTGACCTTCAAGAAATCATTGATTATATTCAAACCGAAAAGGTCATTTGATTATATTACAATGCAAGAAAGAGTGCTATATATATCAGAACGAAATTAGAAAAAGTATTGGGTTTTTGGTCTGCAAAATATGCTTAAATTTATATTATAACTTCTTAAATATTATAATAGATTTAAATCAAGAATATCTATATCGTATTATCTTCTTTGTTTACATGTTCGATGTCATATAATAATAAATATTGTTAATCGGATTCAAAGAGCAAAAGTATGGGGAATGGGCATATTGTAGTCGATGAGAATTATTAGTGTGCAATAAAACAAGTGACTACCGATTAATGATAAATAGAACTACGGGTTTCAAAGAGGATATAGTTTGTAACAAGGTATTAGAAAGTGACCAGTGACTAATACGGGTTTCAAGTGTGCAATAAAACAAGTGACTAGCGATTGATAATAATTAGTAATACGGGTTTCAAAGTGGATATAGTTTGTGACAAGGTGTTAGAAAGTGACCAGTGACCAAGTTTGTGAAACCAAGAGACAGCCCCATAAGTACATGTACGGATGGCTGAAATATACATGCTTAAAAATTATGACTTCTCTTTGTTCAGGCCCGTAGGAAATGATAAAATAAAAAAAATCACTGTAAAGCCCCCTTCCCCCCCCCCCCCAAAAAAAGAACAACAACAAGGGGTTATCACGGTTATTAGACGTTATTTTTGAAAGGACATTAGGACAAAGTTGCTTTGTTTTCTATAGTAAATTATATCGGTAAAAAATATAAGGGGAATGGGGGGGGGGGGACGTGCCCAGGGTCCTATGGCTATGTTGTTTATTTTATTACAACGGTAGACAAATGTTCGGTTATCAACATTAAGTGTCAATCTTGCTATGCATGGGCAAAATAATTATATATTCGATAATTATTGATAAGGAAACCGCTCGGGTCTCGCAAGATACCTAACCAATCAATACACAAGTTTCAATACATGATGTAATGGCCATAGAGAAAAAAAGATATGAAAGTATTTAATAATGATAAAAAAAAACAATTATTTTAACAAAAAAATGCACCCTCTATACACCTTAAGGACTTTGAAAAAATCGCATAGCCTAAATGAGCACGTACATGTATTAAAATTACGTAGTTCATGTATGCCTTTTGAAAGACATCGTAGTAGTGATAAAGAAAAATCGCGTTCGCTTTCCCAATGGTGTATATTCCATATAGGCAAAAAGGCTGTAGCCTACACTTCATTTTCTTGATGCAAAAAAAAAAAATATTTATACATGTATTTGATTGAAAAATGGGGGAAAGTTGACCATAAATCTTATTCATTTACCAGTTACTAGAATATATTTTCATCAAATGCAATAAAAGTATTTTTAGCAATCCACACTTTTATGCCTATCCAATTTTTACAGTATACAAAACTTTTGATTTTTATAGCTGGTTAAAGCTGAACACGACTCGTAAATAGGCATACGCCATTTTCGATATTACTATGTAAGATATCAGCACCAGGGTATACTCTTCGAATTCGTTACACCTGACTGCTTTATTGTCAAGGGTATCGGCGTGGAATGGCGACCCGTGTTCGTGCTGGTTATCTTGCGTTATCTTTGTTTACATTTTATTGCAGTTACTGACGTGTGTTTGTGTTTGTTTGTATACTGCACTGACCTGTGCAACTGTTGTAAATCTCTTTGGTATCTGCATTATTCTGCATTAGAAGAAGCACACAGTCATTTTTGTCGCTAACAAGTGCTGTATAGCATACCGGTGACAATTGATTTCACTGAACAGTGACCAAGTGAGCGGCTCTATTTATAGGGGCCCTCAGATATAGCGAAAGTCCAACCAAATATGGCGGACAGATTCTTTTTACGAAGCGTGTTCAGCTTTAATTATAAAAAAGAAATGTTACCCTGAAGACGATATCAGACTATTAAAAATGACATCAACAGGAGTTTACTAATATGTTTGGGTTAGTAGGGAGTCAAACATAAAACATTTTAAAAATTATATTTAGATTATTCAGTGAAGAAGTTTCCATAATTTCCGTGCACTGTGTAAGGATTTTAAAATTTCTCAATTTTATTACAAGTGGTCATGAAGATTTTAATTTCTGTATCATAAAAATATGTTTAAATGATTTATAATTATATTCACTTGAAAAATGACGATGATAAATGTCTCCAAGATCGCAGAAAGTGAGCCTCCGACCCTCCCCCCTTCTATTGAGAGGGGGCGACTCCCTCCTTGCCTATCCGCAATTCGGCAATAATGCGCTTTAGGTGAAATCTGTGACCTCACATTAGTTTACGCATTAGACGAAGGGAATATACGCCACTGTTTCCCAATATGAAAAATACATAAAAAATGAGTTTTCAATTAAGGCTTTGAATACTTGAATTAATTAAAAATCATATAAACAATACAGACTGGAATTTATTTTATTCCATATCAAATAGTTGATCAGTCTAACTGCACAAATCACCCTTACATGTAATGAAATGTATCCTTAATTAAATTTCTGCGCAGTGTAAAGACGATCCTCAGCAATTCATATCAAGAATATGTTCCTCCCTCATCAATGTGCATATAAAATAATTTACCAACATGCAATCTAATTTCGCAAGTCAACGATAAGACCATATAATATTCTATATATGTATCTATTGTTTTATTTAATGAGGAAAATAAGATTTAATACATATTTTACCAAACCCTACCCAAAATTCATTTGTATTTTGTTTTGATACATATAACATTTTTTCTTGCATTATTAATTATGCAAATGGCCCATTTGTTATCAATATATTCAGTGATTTCTTGATAGTAAAAACTTAATAAAGGGGAGTAATCAAATGTTGAATTCGCCTTTTGATTGGTTATTTTGGATCTTGAATCTCGAATTTCGAATCTCGAATTTCGAATCTCGTATTTTGAAACTCGAATCTCGAATGAGCCTTCTGGGCTTTCGTAGTGAAGGGCTTCAAATTCATCAAAACGTACAACTTTTCAACGCTTTATACAACTATTCCCCACGATGAATGAAAGTCCGGGCTTTAACGTATGACTTTTTGACATCATAGACATCTGCTTTTTCAATAAAAACATAATTCATACAATTTGATTATCTTATCATTGGTCATTTACAAAATTAATTAAAAATATTTTGATTTTACATAAAAGTACTCTGAAATAGATATTAAAAAGAGTTTCTGATTGACAATATCTATGTAGGTTTTGGAGATGAAGTCTTCCAGCAATCTGTCGCAATGTCCATGGGCACTAACTTCACCCCATTATTAGCATACCTATTTTTGTATTCATTTGAAGAAGAATTTATTCAAAAATCTTCTACATGAAAAGAAAGTCTCTTGGTGTAGCCTTCAATTCAACATTTAGATATATCAACAACATTAACAATATTCGTTTTCTTTCCTGCGTTGATTCAATATATATCCCTTTGAGGCGGAAACAAAAGATACCACAGAGTCTGACACATCTGTTTCATATTTGGGAATTTTACTAGAAAAAGACCTTAATGGTAACCTAACATAAAAACTTTATGACAATTATGAAGACTTCAACCGCTCTATCGTCAACTAACCATATTTATATAGCAATATACCCTCATCACCTGCATATGGAATTTACATCTCCGAGTTGATTCGATACGCAAGAACATGCTCCACGTACGAATAATTTCTAAAACGAGACAATATGTAAACAAATAAGTTGATGAAACAAGAATATCAACAATCTCGTTTAAAGTCAAAATTTCGCAAATTATATGGTCGATACCATGACCCTGTCAGCAAATGCAAACCACTAAATTTAATGTTGACCGACTGTTTTCATGTACATTGTAAGGCCCTTATTTTCACACTGAATTGTGTACGGATTTTCCGTTTCCCAGTCATGACAAGGAGCACACAAAGGGTGTCACGGATCGGCAGGGGGATGTTTATTCCTTCATGGCATCTGATCCCAGCTCTGAAGTTTGTCTTTGCTCTGCTCCAAATTTGGATTGTTTCAATGGAGTTTTGAGATTGATAAATGTTCGCTATCTTCATATTTCACAGGATGAATTAGATGAGAGGCATTAAAGAGGCTGGGGGGTTGTGGCCATTTTTAGACTATATTGATCTCCTTTAGAAGAAGAGCTCCATATGAAGATATAGAAAATGATCAAATTTTAAAACTAAAATTTTTGAAATTTTTCTTTGCCAAATGATAGTTGACAGCTTAAGATACCATATCTAAAAAAATAAGTTAAATCTGGTGGTTAATTTGTGGTTAATTTGTTGACCCCCCAGCCTCCTTAACTTGTCATTTTTTTTATTTTGAAGCAGATTCTTGCAAATGTTCATGATTTTTTTTTAATGTTTTCTATATCAATAATTTAATATATTCATAACAATTGTAAAAAAGAGATGTTTTATTTTAAAGATTTATATGTAATAAAGTTGGGATGCGACTACCTCCTTTACGACTATTGACCACGTGACGTCAGACCGCAGGAATGCCTACACTTACCCTGCTGATATTTAACAAATGAGAATGAACAGCACTGAGTAGGCCATTGGCCACGACCAATGTAAATAAATTGTTTTGCATTGTGTTGTTATTTGTTTATACGTTTGGTGATTTTTAGGCATCATAAAGACTTTAAAGCTAATTTACACTTATTATAATTATAAATAATGGTTCTTAAATTTCACTGATTTGAAAAGTATGTATCTTTATTAAAATCATTGAACATGTATTAAACTAATAATACTATCCTCTCTATTAAACTTAGATGTACTAGTGGATCCATTTTCCCGAGTTTACTTACCTCCAAGATCAACCACAACAAATTTTGTACCCAACATGAAGGCTAAAACGCTGTCTGATTTTGTTTGGATATAGTTCTGCACTTTCAACTCTTTACACATTACAGCAGCTGCTTCAGGTTCCAAACAGAGAACAAGATCGTCCGCATGAATCCCCGCCTATAATAAAATTAAGTTAAGATCTATATACAAATGTCCTACCTTACATTCATGTATCATTTGAGATATTTATGTATTCTCTAACCTTAGCAGAAGCTCTAATCATAAACTTTCTTGCTTCGTCATTCCAAATTGCTGGCACAGTTAGAACCCATAGGACATCATCCTCAATGACATCAGATTTTATTTGGCAAATGTCATTGATTATCTTATTTTTTAGGTGAAGAATAACGTCCGAAAATACAATCAAAGCTGGCATTGTACCTCCTTGGTCAGCCTTTAAAACTAAACCTTCTAAAGATCCCTAGAAATAAGGGTATAACAAGATTTCTGTTAATCAAAGGATATTTAATTTATTGAAATATTATGTCTGTACGTGTATATTGGTGTTAAACATGATTCTGCAGCAATAGTACTTATCTTGACTCTATTTAATGTGAAATGCTTGGCTCATGTTATCATAAAAAAATTATTGTGTGTTATGTTTTTATATCTGCAGTTGTCTATATATTTACCTTTGTATCATACAATTTCATCTTAAAATTTGTAAACTTCAAACAACGTTCCACAAGATCCGGGTCGTTTAACGTCATATCATAGTACTTATTGTCAGCATCATAACCGAAACAGTCGAACTCTCCTTTTTCATTATAAAGAGCACAGGTGGATGTTTTCAGGGATAGAAACAGACCGTCGTTCCAGCGCGGGGTGAAAATATCCAAAGGATTACTGTTGAACTGCTCACGGCTTGAGAAGGCATACCCCGAATAAGTCGTCCCGATATCAATGGCTGCGACATATCTGTATTCGCTCCTGGAATAACACAAAGATGAGCAATCGCTACGATTGTATGTGGAAAACCGTACATATATACTAATAAATCATTGTAGAATGATAGGAATTGCAGTAGATAAATAAGTGTATCGCATTTATATATGTATTTATTGCTAAATGTTTTATGTCCCACTTATACAGAAGATGAAGTGTTAACAATGAAAGGTGTGTTTACATTACCTTTGCTTTTTTTAGATTTATTTATTGATTTCATTTAAACTTTTGCACATTGTATTCTATTGATCATGATTATCAAACAACTAATAACATTGTAAGTTTCATTCTTACTTTTTGTTGATTTCTTCATCACTTATTTCTGCATATACCTCATCTTTCAATTCCTGTTCAATTCTTTGCTCCTCATTACTCTGAAAACATGTAATAATCTAGAAGGTTATATTCTTGATAACAATTATATCTATCTGAAATTATCTATGGTAAGGGTGAATTCAAAAAAATAAACAGAAACATTTTTATCAACCTGCACTAAAAATACAGGTAATGAGAATAAATTTCTACTTCTCAGCATATGTCTTTTGATATTGTCTAAATACCTGCCAAGAATCTCATTAACATCTCAAGACGCAAAAAAGTTATGTTCAAAAATGATGCTAGAAATGTCTGGAGTGCAACACCTTTTTTTTTTTTTTTTTTTTTTTAAATAGACATTTTTGAAATTCGATAGTGTTTGGAGATCTGTGAAATAAATAATAATTGTTTATGTTGAAAATAAAGACTTTCCTGATACTATTCAAAGTATTGAGCTTTAAATGTAAATTGTAGCAATTTTTTTGACAAGTGGTGGCTATGGATGATGCTGAGAAAATGTTATACCATGTCAGGAGTGTTACAGAAACAAATGTAGTGATGCCCAAAACATTGATTTTACAAATCTGTATAAAATTAAGTCAAGAAGATTTTTTCCCAGATATACCATTGAAAACTTTAAAATGTTATATAAATCACAAGGAGCATTATTGAGAGTCAAGTACCTGCGCATACCCATTTATGTCAGGAGTTTTTATCCAAGAATGGAAAAAAAACTTTCATCAGAATATGATTCTCTGAATTTTATTTTGGAAATTAAGGACACAAAGAACAATCTTACCCAAAAGATCTATCAATTAAAGGGTCTGTCTGAGTCTCAGATCCGTGTTTCTATGGTAAGAAGTGCAACATATTCTAAAAAGACGAACATAGAATCTACGAAATTCTGGCTTTAAAAGAGGTTGTTGAAATCCCTGCAACATCAACTTATCGGACAGCCTGCATCTGATTAAAAATTGATCCTACTCGGAGCATGCCCATGAGTATCGAATATGTTGGGAGATGTAAACACCATATGCAGGTGATCGTGGGATATTACTACATAAATCAGAGAAGTTGACGATGAAAAAAATGAAAAATCTTGTTTGTCATATAATTGAGTTGTTAGTTTGCCTTCTTCGTCTATATAGTCAGTAAATATCTAAATATGAAACAGATGTGGTAGATTCTGTGATGTCTTTTATCTCAAATTCACAGGGATATATCGAATCGACATATGAATGAAAGTAACTATTGCTAATAGATAATACGTTGTCGATATACTTTAGTATCTAAATGTCGAGTTGAAGGCCACAGCAAGTGTTTTCTTCTTCTCATGAAGAAGGTTTTGAATAAATTCTGCTTCATAGGAATATAAAACAGGTCGGCTAATAAAGGAGCACAATTAGTGCCCATCATGTCCTAAATAGACAAAAATAATTTGGGGGGATATTGGATCATATTTCTTTCATATTAAAACTTTTCAACCAGAATTGAAAAAATTAATGTAAAATAACAATCAAAAAGCCATTTTCTTTCATATATACAAGAGAAGAAACTCAATCAATGTTTAGATCTAATCATATATATCCCTGACACCACTTAGAAGCATAAAAATCTATAATTTCTTTAGATTATGTACTTTAGAAAATGTTTTAGGACATAGCAATATTTTCCACTTTCAAATGAAGTTTTACTAATAAAAAAATCTGAAACTTTTTATGCAATTGTCTATTCTATAGTCACTTCAGGAATTTTAACTAAAATGCATGTACAGTATTATGATATTAGCGAAAAATATGTTATGCTTAGTTGATTTTTTCAAAAAAAAATTAATTTGGTGGTCATTATTTATGAATTCACCCGTAAATTCAAAATATTTACCTTTCTTTTATTTAGTCTAGGTTTGGGTATCGGCGGTCTTCTGTTTACCTCCCCTTTTACAGGAGTATGTGTCATGGTTGGTGTAGACATGTCACGCTCCTGAGCTTGAGTTTGAATGGTTCTTACTTTTTTGTCGCAGATTTTCTGCTCAAGTTGTTGTATTTTGTCCTTCACAGAACCACCAGATTTCTTCCTCTGATTCGAAAAATTAAGGTACACACAATTTGTAATATTCCCTTATGAATCTTAAAACCGACAATGTTCTTAAATACATTATAGAGTATCATCCTAGTTAAGAATAAGTACGTATAGAATTCTTTTACTGACCTTTACTTGACCTCCTGTGGCATGTCCAGTCTCCCCTCTATTTGATTTGATAACATCCTTAACTCCAAGGTTCTCAATCTTCTTCAGTAGCTCTTCGTTACTTTTGGAAGGCCAGACTGCATCGTAATTCTCCGATTCCTTATCCTCTTGATTTGGTTGCAATACACCTGTTCTGGGCTGCAAAAACAAATGCCTAAAAATCATAATCATGCTAGAAAGTTCATAAAGATGAAAAGCTCTCTCGCTCTCCTCTCTCTCTCTCTTTCTCTCTCTCATTTTTTATTAGTACCTTTGACACAAAGGTTCTCGGAGGTTTTGGAGGTGGTACTGGGTATGGGTTTTGCTTTTTCTCGGATCCTGACATACTTTTAATGTTTTCCTTGTTTCAAAAATTTGATATTATGTGTCAAGACACAATTATTTCTGAAAGAGAAATTAATTTTCAAATGTAAGAGAAAAATTGCTCCTCTTTCACTTATTATCTCTAATAATGTTACTATCATATTACTATTTTTTACCTTTACTTACCATGTTATGTACTTACCGTTGTGAATGCTGTCGATCTCCTTAACATTGATTTGAATTGTGCAAAATTGCATGTTTGTCTTGTCTTGAGCAAGAAACAAGATAAAACTTGATAGTGGGTCAAGGCGTATGAGGGGTTGTTTATGTAGAACAATATTGATCTTCGCGGTTGAAGTCGTTTTTGGAAAATGGTGCAGTAGATTTAAATGTCGTAGATTGAGTGTGCTGAACAAGAGGCCTTTATTGCTCAAACATATCAAATTTCAAAGATAATGTAATTTTTTTAACAGACACAAGTAAAAGCTTTCCAAAAAGCCTGCCTGATTATCAGTAGTTCACATCAAGTGTAGGACGTTTCGCTCAAATGAATGATTCGTGTGTGATACTGAATGAACAGGGTAGCAAAAAGAATTAACTCGTTTTACAAAATATATTTTATGCAGTATATATGGAAACTATATATAGCCATAAGTCATCACAATAAATTGAATCAGATGCGAATCTCGAGTTAAATGGAATTCACATACAATACAAATATTGAATGATTTAATAAAGTGTGATTTCTCTCAAGTAAATAAAGCTTCATCATTTCAAACCAGTTTTAACCGGTGAAAAAATTAATAATGGGGTCATTTTTCGACGTTGACAAATGACCCCCAAGCCGTAGAACTTTTTTTTTTTTAAGAAAAAGAACCCTAGGGTCTACCTGTGCAACCTATAAAAATTGACTCCCGTTGAAAATGACCCAATCCCAAACAGAGTGATATAAAGTTTAAAAGAGGTGATTGATGACAAGGTTTGGGTCTCAATGTTTATTTCTTTAGCATCTAGAAAATTAAAGACAGCATAAAGTACATGGATTAATTGAATTGAACATTGGGGACAAGACATGGGTATCTGCATGATCTAGTTTTTTATTGACTTTATTTCTTTGCAGTTTCTGGAAATTTTACTTTTTAGTTTAGGTTAGAATTGCTTGCATGTCAAATTTTGTTTGCCATATAAAATGGATAGTTAATTAATGCGTGTTCTTTTGGTTTTAATGAAATTGTACCAAAATTCTCTAAAACATCACACACTTATTTTTTTCAAATTGTAAGATACTTGTGCTATGTGTGTACACTGTTAAAATCATTGGTTAAAAATACATGAACTTAATCGCAGCTTGATAAAGCGGTAGATATAGATATCAAAAAACTCTCTCTCTCTCTCTCTCTCTCTCTCTCTCTCTCTCTCTCTCTGGAATATATACTGAAACGCAAAAGAAACGCAACAAGCAGTAATCTACAAATATTGGAATTTTTTATCTAATGATTTTCAAAAATAAATACGCTAGGGTAAAACTCGATTTGAAAACATCAGAGATTTGACAAAAATGTTAAATTATTATCTTTTAACTTTAGAAATAACACATGACTGTTGAAACACCCCAACCCCATGTCATTTAATTACAACTTGCAAGACTGCCATGCACAACAGTTGCAGCTTGAATTTTTACGATGCAATAGGTTCACCAATCTCGAGATCCGAGCAAAAGAAGTATTCTTTGCCATTTTTAAATGCCTGTTTTTCAGATGATGAGGTCGAATTTCCTCTAGCCAAGCGCAGTGAAGTAACCCTTTGACTTCCGGTCCAAGGACTGTCATTCATGCTAATGATACGTAAGAGGCTGTTAAGGCGTGGTGTGGATCATATTTGCATCTGCAACCCTCCATCTCCTTTATTTTGAGATTTTCCAGCTAGAGCAATGGAAATGCGTACTTAAGTCATTTTCAGGAAGCCTTGGCATCGCTTACGGATAAGAAAGGGGAATTTATTTTTCGGAGCCTTGCTGCATTACTTATGATGAACAGATACAAATCCTTAAAAACCCATATTATTGCCGAATGTTTTGTAAAACATGCATTTTTTGATTTCTGTTAAGCAGACTCAAACTTAACTTCCGGTAATGGTATGAAAATCATTTAACCGCTAAATTACCGATATTTACAAAGTTGAAGATGTCTTTACTTTTTAGATACAAAATTATATCCTATATGTTATATTTCCCCCTAAAATATGATGTTGCGTTTCTTTTGGGTTTCAATATATAAGAAAGAACAACGATCACTTAGGACCTTTTTTGGCCCTGTGAAAAATCAAAACTGCTTAATTTTAAGCTGAAAATACATTGAATTTCATTTGGTTCCTTGGTAGCTGCATATCCATTTAAAATTACGTAATTTTTTCAATAGCTAATCTATTATTGCATTATTTTTATTTTTTATTTTATGGCCAAAAGCTGCAACTGTTTTTCAATATATTGCATAGAGCCCAACTTCTGATCCAAAATGTGCAATTAAATAATTAAAGAACTGTTTCCGAAGAGTATAATCTATGTTTTATTTAAACAATTAAAATGCTTTCTTTGGTTGTTAGTGCGGGAATTAATGTTGCAGCTGTTGCAGACGTAGACGTAGGCGGGTTATGTAAATTTTTTTCTGCAGTAGCTGCGACGTTAATTCCCGTACTAACAACCAAAGAAAGACATTTTATTGTTTATATTTATATCTGTATAAATAATCATTTAAAGTAGGATTAAAAGGATTAATTAGTGTATTATTGATATGTCCGTCATTGTACGTTTCATTGATGGAAGAGCCACTGATCAAGAAATCTGTACAGGTGATATGCCTAGTGTTGTTCATGAACTGATAAACGGCAATGGTTTTCTTTGGAAATTAAGGAGAAAATATTCAGTGGATGTAAATATTTCTTTTTATTATTTGTTATTTATTTTTATAATTTATTTTTTTTTTATTCGAGGGGTGGGCTCATATTTGAATTCTTTGCTCAAAATACACATTTTCTGCAAAATTCAAGAACATTGCAATTTCACAAGGCCTGTTTTTCAATTGCTGGACTCTTTTATAGAAAATGAAAGCAGTACGTCTCTTCTTTAAATTGATGTTTGAATTGGGACATTGGGTCTTGGTATATGGACAGAACTATTTTAAGGATAAAGTGAACATAGTTCTTGAAAAAAAAAATCTTAAAACAATTATAAATTTGTCAAACCAGAATGGAAGCATTTCCACATAGTGTAGACTGAAGTCGATTATTGTTGTCAATTAATAATAAAAGACAGATCATTTTATTCGAAAGATTTAATAAGGACAACATATTATCCCTGTATCCCCATCATACCTCAGGTGAGCACTTTGGTCCACTGGCCTTTTGAACTATAATTAATCTTTTTAACGAAAAAGAAAAATGCATGAGTATCTCTACCAGTAGTCATTATTCTACGGGGTCATTTTTTTAACTTCACGTATGGTATGCAGATTTTTCGACGTCGAATAATCACTGGGTTTATTTTTCTACCTCGAAAAATGCCCGGGTCATTGTTCTATGAGGGTCATTATTAGTCTTTAATCTGGAATAAATACTTACATCTTGAAACAATTACGTATGACACATTTTTTTTCTACTGAAATTTACAATTAAAGTTGATTAAAATCAAATCATCGATCCACTTTTGTTTATATTGTCTCTACCTCGGTTAGCGAAAATAGAAATGGAGCGGGTAGATGATCTGCTGATCAAATTAATTTGTGTAAATTTTGGTTTTTGCAATCAAGTGCGAGAGGGAGTCGTTGTTGTTTCATATTTTTCCGACTGCTAACAATCAGTAGGTTGCTGAGCAGTTTGTTGTAAATGATTCCACTATAATATAGAACGTCTTATCCGTCGCCAGAGAGACCATGTAAAGGTATCAAACCAGCCATGAGAGGGACGTCTGCCATGTCAAGATGGGGCTATTCATCCTGCAACCTGTTAATTGTCACATCATTATTTTAACCGCTGTTAATTATAATACAGTAGGCAATCATAATCATCACGTTCGCCCAAAACTGGAAGTAACCAATTGCAAAAGTTTGGTATGCAAGCTTGTCGACTTTACGTTGGTGTTTCTCCTAATCGCCCACTGTCGTATGGCTAATTTTCCAGCCTTTAGTCAAGCCCTTCTGGCAATCCATCATATTAACCAACTCAACTGGCCACCGTCCAGTCCACTTTTGTCTCCAATCAAACACTGGACAGTAGGGAAAAAAGGCAACTGATTGCCCTAACTACTACCGACTAACTAAGAGCCGTTTTATTAGAAGGAAGGAGTAATATCCCTTTGAGAAATAAATGCATCGATAAATTCCATTCGTCAGATGCGCGAGGGAGGCATATAAGAAAATGACAAATCAGTCGATTAAACTTATGGGGGTACCGTCAAATGAGTTTCATTAATACTTTATGAATTAACTGTCAAATTTAAATGAGATTTTGATGACTTGTTAATCAAAGATGTAACTATAGGATTCATTCTAAAGCGAAAGGTCTGGGAAAGAAGTGATATATTGAACAAACATAGTTTGAAAGAACTTTTATCTCTAAATTTTCAGATATAATGCTAAAAGTTGTGTCTGTAGTACCGTGGGGTATATTAGAAATCAATACAAATGATGTATTATACAATACATCTGCAATGTAAAATCATACAAATAGAAACTTTAAAAATACAAATAGAAAATATCACCACTTATACGAGCCTGGTCTCGGATAAGTGAGTTTATTTCAGTAACCCTAGTTATATTTATCTATTCCGGATAATTTACGTACATTCGAATATATATTAATTTTCATCCTTAGTCACAAGCTATCATTCCGGATAATTTAGGTCCATTTGTGTATAGTCTAATAATAATTTCTTTTCTACCTTTCTTGAAGAATCGATTAAACGGTAAAGCCATGGAAAATTTTTGGAAGTTAAATTGTGGCAATGTTTTAAATTTTGAAATTAAATAA